CCAACCAATTTAAACCACAATTTAAATGCAATTGGCTTTTTGAGAATACACAAATATTCTATGGTACAATAAGATATACTGTAGAAAACTTCATACAGATCGGTAAAGAAAAAACCAAAGTTATATGCAACTGCATAATTGGATGGGGCAGCTAGCAAATAACTCAAGAATTTCTGTATACATGTACACACACACATTCAAGCTTCGCATTCTAATAGCATGGTAATTGCGTCTTTTTTCTGTAATGCTATTTTAGTTCCTTTTTTATCATAAGTACTTAATTGTTGGTGTGGCTGCTGAGTAGAGTCGACAGCAAGTAATGCGGTCAGTTGCGAGTACGAACCCTGCCAAGGGAACTTTTTTTTTAAATTTATTTGGTGTTGGGTTCAGGGTATTCCCTAGTCGGGAGCTCCCGACTAGAACCTCTTACTTGTTAATATTGTTAACTATTAATGTTGGTAAAATTGATTTGGCGAAGGAGACTTTCGAACCGGGACTTTTTGAAATAGTTTTTGTAACTTCTTCTTTTAGTTTACCTACAAATATTCTCGAACAATTAAGTTATACTATTTGGGAAATAAAAGTTAAGAAAATTAAGAGCCACACCCCAGAACACCTCAAGTATCTGTCAGACAGAAAAAAAACATATCTGTAATATATTTCAAGCGTTATTAAGCTCTCAGGATATTAAGATTGCATTTAATGTGTGAATCATTGGTTGACATTTTTCCCGAACAGATCTATTTATTTTATACAAAAGAAAACCTATTTATAATAAGTAAAAGGGGTATGTTTTTGTGAAAATGTATATAAAATGCAGAAAGAAGCATCTCCGCAACCATAAAAAATTGTATATTTGTGATCAGGACAAGTCGATTATATTTAATCATGTCCGTCTCTTAGAATGCATCAGCTTGGAAAACTACGAAGGCTTGAAATAAATCATCTTCTATACGATGCGCAAATGGAGACTATAATTTTTTTCAGTACTCTCATTTTTATATTATCAAATTTATGACTTACTTCTTTAATGACTCACTAATTATTATAGTTAGATGCACCAGTATTGGGGAGTAAACACTCGTATAGAATACACAGATTAAAAAGTTGAGATTTGTTACTATATTCATTAATTGCAAATTTTCTCCAAGTGCCGACAGCCCCTGCCACACTTATTACGCAAAATCAAATTAACATACCATTAAATTTTTTCAAAAACTGGTTTAAAAACACAGAAACTTATTAATGCAGACGTAGTGTTATATCAGAATGGAAATTGTATTGCATGCAGTTTTTTTCTTTAATACCCAACTGGCCCAGGAAATTGGTCGGTTTAAGGTTGTTGCGGATTCGACATTTGCAGAGGGAACTTTTTTAAAATTAATTTATGTTGATGGAATTATATCCCTTTGGGAGAACAAGCTTCTAGGTATCCCGTAGTCGGGCACTCCCGGCTAGAGCACTCTCACTAGGTTTTTATTGGATTAAAAAAGCAAACCTACAATAAATTTAAAAATTCTTACCTTCACAATTTCCATCATATGTTTAAAAACTGGCGCTGAAAATTAAAATTATTGAAATAAACCTGATGTGCGTATAGCATACACGAATATATATCCCAAACCAGGTACATTTAGCCGTTAAAGTTTCGTGATAACGAGTTCACCCAGGCGGGCAGATGGAAGGACCGATATTGCTTGTTCGACCAATACGTCCGTTGATGTAAATAAAACATATGTTTGTTAAGCTGGCTCGAGGTTCGCGGTTTCACGTGCTGCGCATCGGCAACCGTCTTCAGGTCACTAAAGCCAAGTTACAAAAAGCAATTGACATTAAAATAAACTAAACAATTAATAAAATATTTGACATACAATATTTTACAAGTCTGCGCTTTTTGACACGGAGATTGAAACTATTTGGCTATTTAATAAGTGTCTGTAGTTTAGTCGTTTGTTGTGCTTATTATGTGTAACATTTCCAATGTATTTCGTTTGTTGTAGTGTTGTTCTTTCAGTATTATTGTTGTTTAACAAAGTTTGGTTTACCATTGATTTTCATACAGTAACCCACTGTCAAGTTTAATTTTTTAACTGTTCAACTGTTTAACACAAAAATATGAAATGTGTTTTAAAAGTTCTTCCATTATTATGTCTGCGATTACCGGTAATCCCATTGCATTTCTTATAATTGTATTTATATATTGTCTTCGTATTCAAAGTACCAGTTTTCTTGAATGCATAAATAATTGTTTCGGCATAGTTATGTGTTCTTAAGATTTTGTCCATTTTCGTTTTATTGTGTCTACTGCCAGTTCCATTGGTACTGGGAAACAAGGATATTACATCAAACGATACTAATGTTTAGTCGTCGCTAATGTAAGAATTATTGACGTAGCCTTTACACTCCAATGAGTTTTTTATATTATATTTGGAGTCTAATGCTAAATTGTTTAATATTTCGATAATATGTTTGCACGGACAGATGGGGATCCGATCCAGAAACATATAATCCTACAGAACCCTACAATCTATTAGAATGCCTCGAAAACTCAGATTGCTACAACAAACAAGATACAAAACTAGCACACAATGCTATGAAACAAACAATTTTCAACAACATAAAAGCAAGAGTTTCAATTATAGAAAAAAGTAATGTTATTTACAAAATACAATGTTGCGGGGAGAACAAAAATAAGTCCAATAACGTGTGCATCGGCACAACAAAACCTAAATTAAAAACACGGTCATTCCCAACACAAATCAAACTTCAATTTAAAACATACAAATATTACACAAAGAACATGACTAATGACCGACTCTATGAAAAGCAACCACACAAACTTTGATGAAACAATAAAGAGAAAGAACGACACTACAACAAACGACATAATTTGGAAATGTTACATATAATAGGCACATCAAACAATCAACGGCTAAACTACAAAACAGACACAGAACATTACGCTCACTTGTACAGACTCTTATTGAATAGCCAAACAGTGTCAGTCTCCACGTCAAAATATTGTATGTCAAATGTTTTATTAATTGTTTAATTTAATTTAGTTTAATGTCAATTGCTTTGTTTCTTTTGGTTATAGTGCCCTGAAGACGGTTGCCGATGCACAGGACGGGTTTCCTTGGGTGTGTTTTATTTTTGTTTATAATAAATCCGCAGACCTCGCAAAAAAAAAAAAAAAAAAAAAAAACAACATTACAAATATTTACTATATATAATAATGCCTTCTTCCGCCTATTAAGAGTTATGTTCAACTGCCATGTTAAAGGGTGTTTGCTAAGAAAAAAAAATAAACGCAAACATATTTCAGGATCTGCACATTTTACACAGAGGGTGTGCTTCATTTCCCAGCGCCACACTATAGGATATGTAATCTTAAATAACTCGTATTTATTGTCCGATACACAAAAAATGTAGAGGTGAAATTAGGGTCCACATGTATGTAAGTTAGCACCAACAAATCGACGTCTGCTAGAAAGTAATAGCTGCATTGGCTGCTGATATTTGTTGACTTTGCATTGCTGCAGGTCAACGGCTACAGCAACGAAATCCGATGCCTCGCATGCGCGCGCTGAGTGACCGTACAGAAGTAGTCACGAGGCGCTGGGTCAGCATGCTGCCGTTTTTAAGTTTTTAAGATTGAATCAAAAAGAGAAGATAGCTCCTATAATAAATAATATTCGGGTTTGAATCACCAAATTTAGTCGGATAGCATACGGTTGCAAAAACAATAACGAAAGACCACCAATTTAATTTCCTGAGGAACATAGCAAATAAATCCCTTTTCAAATGCATTTGTACACACATGGATTTTTAACGAGTTAGGACAATCGGATGATATAAAATAAATGAAAGCAGTTTTCATTTATTCGTAGCAAACTTCCCAAATACCGAGTGTTAAGTCAGTAATATAACAAAGCTTTTTTGAAAATTTCAACTTTCTGTTACGGCTTGGATGGTGCGCTTTTAGTGCTGACCGACTACGAAGTCGAAATTCGCTAAGACAGGGTTTTGCGAAATTTCATCCGTAACTGTAGAAAACCATCAAATCCTCGAACTCATTTTCATAGATTTTTATACCAATTAAATTTTCATTAAACCCATGAAAAATTATTTCGCAGAATCCAAGCTTCCTTGATGGAGCATTCGATACGATGATTTTTTGCAAAACTCTAAACTTATTTTCAAATAACTTTTCGTAAGAACTTAATAATATTTTGGAAATCCCCGAAACTGTAGTAAATGGTCGGAAAACGGAATCACTTTCAAAGATATTTATAAAATTCATCTGATAAGTGATTCACATTCTTCGCAAAATCCATCCCTTTTGAATGGAAAGTGAAGGTCAAAGGATTATTAAAGGAAAGTTTATTTTCGGCTTAAAGATTCTCACAACTAATTTAAACATGCTTCTGTATTCGATGAACTTTAAACTGAATTTCAACTATCTATTTAAAATATAGCTTAAGACATGAAGTGCAAGATAGTTCGATTATATTAATATTTTCCACGAGCTAGAAATAGGTGAAATTACATTTACAATTTAAAGCACAAAACTTGCCACTGGCAAGGCTTAGTATACAAATGAAATATATATCAATTTTCTCAGTAATATTCACATTACATTTATTTTAGTGAATTCACTCATTTTCATGCATCTTTTGTATGTACATACAGAGGTTCATGTGACCTCTTTGAACAATGGTATGCACTTTAATGCGTCGACACGTAAATGTACACAAAATACTAATGTAATAAATATTTATATATTATTTATGTTAATGTATATTCATCGTCGTAAATGTACATTCCGCAATAAATTTACATACATACGAGTGTATATATCCATAATACAATATACATGTATGTATCCACACATAAGTATATTTATATGAAGCTTGGAAATATTGACAACCTATGCATATAAAAATATTGTTATTTGACATATTATGCCAATTGAAGCGTTTGTAAATGCTACTACTTACACATAAATAATTTAAAAACTTTGTATATTACAAACTAACGTGTGTACTTTTATAATATATTTAGAGCACATTCGTTATATCTTATACCATACCATAATTTAATTTGGATAGATTAGGAGATTGCTCCAATATCAAATTAAATAAAAAAAACGTATTTAATAGAAATTTACATACATATGAATAAATACGTATACCAATACAAGAGTTTAACAATGTTGATTTTCGATTATTTCATAAAACAGAATAGCCAAAACCGATGATACTGTAGAGAATTGCCTATAAGGTCATCAACATAGCGTCACTGTTTACTATGATTGATATGAAAGTTATAATCAAAATTATATAAAAACTTAAACATATTACGGTTTAATATATCAATATTAACATATAACATAACCTAACGCAGAGCTTAAAGAGTCGAGGTTTTGTACAACTGAAGTATTGTCGTTTTTTAAATCCTGAACACATTTTATATGGTTCAAAATAATGTTTTAAGGGCTTGCGCAAATTAATATAACAGGCAGAGCGAGGCATTATCGAACCCATAAAATACATATTCATATACAATCACCGAAAACTCTATTTTCAAATCGATAAATATCAATACACAACATTTTTTTGTTTAGCATGGGTACACTAAAGTTTGGTAGGCAGACTAATGTGGTATACATGTAGATAAGTAGCCCTCGCTAATGTAGCGAACTAATGCAATTGTAGTGCTGTCGCATCATTATGCTCTGTCAGTATTCTACAGGCAATGGTTCAAAGCGGTAAGCTAAACTACATAGTCTAATATATATTATCTCAGAATTTCATTTCTATTAAATTGGCGTCAACGGCAGTAATCGACCCCGAAAACGCGTTTGAAATCTACCCTCACTCGGCCTCGGCCTGTTCAGAAAAACGGCTTTAAATTCGTGTGAAATCTTAATTTAAATCTAAATTGCGCAAGCCGACGTTGGCAATGTGATAGCAAAGCCAGCATTATCATATATTTTTAAGCAATAGCGCATTGTTTTTTTTCTCATGTCTTGGTTACATTTCTGACATTGTACTGATAATTGGCTTTAATTAAAAGTGGTCGTTTTTGTGATGTGAAAAGTTTTAGTCAGAAATTGTTTGCTATAAGCTGATGAGTTTTTCAGATTTATATAGAGAGATAAGGAAAGAATAGAGCCTGATCTTAGAATACAATGGAAGGTACAATACAAACTCAAAGCGAAACGATAATAGACACTTACAAGTTAAAAGTCCTAAATGCTCAAGTTGGGTACGTGTAGTTAGCTGTAAGCGCATATGCATAGTTTAATCCATATCAAGTTAGTAAGGCACACTATCAGCAGTCACGATTATAAGAAATCAAATTAGAAGGTCGCAATAGGCGTTTCTGAATTTTGATGCAATTGTTGCTAGGTCAGACTGCACTTAAGCCGCGTCCTCCGACAAGGACTAGAGATGATCCGGCAAGGTGACCTTAGTCTGATTTTATGACGAGGTCAAGAGAAGAATGCTCTGGTCAGATGCTATGCCCTTCCCGCTAAAGAGATGCTAAAGCCAAGGCAAGTATTGAAAGGAGCACGTTCGCAGCCACATACGTTAAGACCATCGAGCCGTCATTTTATTAGGAGGCGGGGGCAGGAATAATCTAGCCAAAAGCCTAGCAACAGGGAAAGTAAAAGGCAGACCCAAGAACCTATGAATGTCGACCAGTCTCTATCAATGTTTAGGCAGCCTTTGCCATTACCGACACCCATGCCGAGGCCTCACAAGCTCTAAAGATAAAATCCGCATGAGTGTGACACGCCGTCCATATCGCCATTATGTGTTACGTCTACATTGATAATATTTCCTCGGAATGAAGCAGACCATGTCCACCACAAATATAAGGGTCTCCTAGAAAAAAAAATAAATTTTGTTTAAGGATAGGGTTTAAGGAACGTTAGGATTTATGGTTGTTAGAGAAGGGATAAAGACGAAGAGAGAAGAGGTCAGGGCAATTCAAGAGTGAGCCAACATAGTTGTCTTATTGACGTCTACATATTTCAAAAAGACCTGTAGTAGCAGTTTTGTTTTAAGGGAAGAAACCAATCTCAATGATTCCTGTTATTCTAACCAACTGAGTCACATATGCCACAAACATATGAGAATTGTTGGTAATGTGCTATAAAACTACCTATATGTTACAAGAGAAATAAACATCTTCACCGTCCACCAACTTCTGACATTTGTAGTTTTTGGTAGAAAAAACGCGAAGATGAAAATGTGAAAGCATTCTTAGAATAATTCAATGATAAGATTTATTATCAAATGCCCAATCATGGCAAATATTAATGGCTTGCAAAACAAACTCCAATCTGACGCAATCACCGTTCTCATTATTTCATAATCTTCGAAACTTCCCGCTCTTTGGTAAAAAAAAACCAGTCACATTGTTTACTTCAGCGATAAAAGTTCTAGACATTAAAGCTTGTGTTATCACACCCAAATATTATAAATTCTATATATTGCGACCTTTCGATATTGGCGCTATGTTTACTGGTTTTTTAGTTTAGTTAGGTTAACAAAACTGTAAATAAGTAAGGAGTTACTGTCGAGTGCCAAACGGAGGTGGAGTTGCAATTTGAGCACTGAAAATTTTACGCCTGGCGGCTGTTAATCCCTATGTCAGCGTATTGTGCGCAGTAGTGTTAGTGTTTTATTTAGAGCAAATTACTTACGTTACAACTTAGATGTATATTCCCATAGAATCTTACCGCAGTCTCTCCTCCTGCGACCCATTAACTCACGACAGTTATGAGCAAAAGGCTGAAGTTTTGGCGGCAGCAAACCGAAAACAACAGCCCGCATATTCAGAGGGCAACAATCCATACCATTTATTATACTTAATACCAAACAATCAAAAGCTTAATTCATCCCGTAGAATCGCCGACCCAAGCCAAGGGAAGAACCATCAATCGCACTCGATTGTCATCCGCCACACGCACACTGGCGTGTCGAGGAACTACTCCCTGTGTGGCACGGCTAGGTCGCACATAAACCCCACATTGCCATTTCGTATTGGCTAGATACACGCACACAATTTCACCGCTTCCAAAAATGGTCCCGTAATAGCTATGCCACGCGTCACCAGTGTTGCCAATTCAGATTTTTTCACGTCAGATCTGGGTTTTCTGAAAGTCTGACTGCGGGAAGAAATTCGAAAACAGCGGGCAGCGGGAATTCTGGATTTTTAAAAGTAAGATTAACTAGCTTTTCGCTTTTTTTTTTATATAATTATTTAATATTAACAAAAATGTGTCTAAACTTGAAATGAGCGAAGTTGGTATAATTTTTAATAAAAAAACGTGAAGTTGGCATGTTTGTATAACTATCGCTATTAGTTTCAAATTGCTAAGTGCGATTTACGTGCGGTTCACACCACTAAGGCAATGTATTTCACATCTTAATAAACTTTTGACTTGTTAAATGTCGAAAAACAAAGCAGATTTTGCACATGGCCAGTTAAAACAGTAGAGCAAGAGGTTGCGCTGTTATTATTTACAGCCCAACACACTGCAGTGGCTCCAGTGGATCATTTGCGCAGTTTGTATGCTATATAAATCGATGACAGCAGCACGGCTAGCCGACTAAAAATGCATCGTACCAAATGCACAAATATATTAAAAAGTGTTTTGGCTCCTCATTTCTATGAGGATCTGCAAAAAGATATGGGTGATGCCAAGTTTAGTTTGCTGTTGGATGAAACAACAGACAGAAATTATTTGCATTTAGTCGGTATGTGCGAGTCCCATGTAGCAAAAATCTAGATAGTGTAATTACCTATATGCTTTAATTAATTTAATTATTAAAGTTGTTGAATTTTTTGAATAACCTATTACTTTTATTGAAAATATCAAACAAAATTGCCTTTAAAATTTCAGCTTTCTGTTCAGCTGTTTTGAATAACTTTTGACTGTTTCGCGCTTTTTTTTTTAAGCAGATGTAGCTTTTTTGGTTGCTCAATAAATAAATAACAACACTGCGAGTCACAGCTTACCTGCGCATCTCTCGCCCGGCTGTTCGTGGATGCTAGGTATGTCAGGCAGATTGCGTACTCCTCTCAGTGGTAGAGGTGGTTCCTATTCCACAGAGACCGCCAGGTGGGTAAGCGGGCGAGAATTCACAATATTTTCGGTTTCAATCAGGAAACTCTAATTACGGGTTGCTTTGGTGTCACCTCCTTTACTGTGTGGCACTCAGTTACAACACTGCACCATCCTTTCCCAGGGTCCGCCTTCATCTGTATTCACAGGGGAGTTCTATTCAATGCCTCTGAAAGGTAGCTTCAATCTTTTCTGGTTTTGGCCATTGGCCTCCAGTATGTTCTCTGGCAAAGGACCCATTATAGGTGGCGCTGGCTGCGCACTATGTAGCTTGCATAAGCTACATATAGAAATTACCGTGCGAAAGAATCGGTGCAGCTTTGTTTTTCGCTTTGATTACCGAATGACTTCACATTGTATTCTGCCGTCGTACCAGTAAGAATTCAGCGTCCTCACATGCCATAGCGATGACGCCGACTCTCTCAATCTCAATCTCAATCTCTGTGTAGTAACTTGGCAGCTATCATGAGACAGTTATTAAATCCTGAAGGATATTGACATGATTAATCTCAAGAATTCCCTGATCGTGGGGACTCGCTTGAAATTTTGCACACATCGAGGGACTTTATGGTATTTTCGGATAAATTTGAAGTCGTCCATGGTTGATTGCCAGCACATGCCCAGAATTTTTCCTCAGTTTTGCCCCATCTGAGGCTCCTGGTTGCTCAATGTTGACCCAAAGCATCACCTACAGTTGGTGAACTAGATGTCAAGTGGTACAATTCAAATCTAGTCTTTGCTTGTATTTATCCTACTGTTCTTAATATGACGATGGCCTCGCTTTCACTGTCAAAGCTTTACACATAACTGGCCACAAAGTGACAAGTTTAATATAGTTTCTAGAGGTTTCTGTACCGCGAAGGCGAATCTATTTCCATAGGCTCTGGTGTCTGACCTTCAGTGTTCTGTGGTCAAGGGCGTTGTTTAGAGCTGCCTGACTTGGCCTGGATCTTAGTGTTGTAAGGGTTCTTGCCATGGCTATCTTGATTCTTGGGGTTTTTTGAGGTCTCTTCGCCATTATTTTGATGTCGACCCTGGG